CCCCCCCCCCCCAATATTTGTATTTGGTGTTAAGATAAACTGAAAGTAATTTCCTGTGGGTACATACTTTCTCTACAGCCTATATAAGGCCTATCCTCTGTGCTCTTCACTGAGATGCTTACTCTGCTATATTGATAAGCAGAGTGGCCTGAAACATGTTAATATCTTCAAGGATGAAGTATCCCTTCGATAAACCATATTGTATTTAATACTGCACCTCTCTCCCACTCCTCTCAACTGGGATTCCCTGCCTTCATCTAAACCAGAATTTTTCCCAGTGTCTGTCTTGAAGTCCTCTTCTGGAAGCACCAGCTCCGTTGTTGCCTGCCAATGGAATGTTAGTTTGCCATATGTGTTTGCTACATCTATAAAGCTGCTGTTTCCTTTGAGAGAGCCACAGAAATGTTTTCATCAACAAAAGAGGAAGGGTCTGTCTCTGCCAAACAGGAAGTGTTATGTGATTGCCATCTGAAGAGCACCGTCTTAGGCTTGACACCATCAACTCCCCTTTTATCTGTGGCTGACCCACCTGACTCCTCATGTCTAAGTTCTATTTTCTATTTGGAAACCCTGGGTTGTCACTTCCCTGGCTCTTCTGACTACCTGCCTTCCTCTGCCCTAGCTCCACTGGGATGTTCTGGAACATACCTTAGACAGTCAACAGACAACCACCTGTTTGCTTGCTTACTCCTCTGTGGTGCTGGCTGTCTGTTGCTTCTTTCTCCACTGTTCTTCTAAGATCTCAGTATGATCCATTCCCCCATGCTCACTCCAGGGCAGAGGGACAGTTGTGAATTGACTGGAAAGAGAGGAAAGACAGCCATCCATTCATAAAAGACAATGGGTAGCTCTCTAACAGAGGAAGACAAATCAAGATAGGGCTGGCTTCTCGTAATAATTCTGATCTGATCCAGCACCCAGTCTCCTGTTTCCTCCTCCTTCACACAGGCCTTTAATCCAGGTATTCTTCTGTACAGGCAAAGTGTGATGGGGGGCGGGGTATGGTGTGTATTAGTGAGAAATATCCTTTGCACTTAAACTTCCATTTTAAGCAAAATGCAGTCTTCAGTTGTGATGCACTGTTTCACAAAATTCTTGCAGTGTTAATTCTTGTGACTGCAGTCTAGGAATGCCAGAGAGATATTGTCAGAGAGAAGAAAATACTGTATGCTTTTAACATAAAGTATACATATTTAGGTCCTGATTCTACGTTTTTACAGTGGAATAAATCAAATGTATTTCTGCTGAAGCCAGTGGAGTTATGCCTGGATAAAACTGGGATACGTTAGAGGAGAATCACTCCCCTAACTTGAAAAAGCTAAAGCAATTCTTCAGAAATCTTGAACTTAGTCTTTCATTGATCTGACACATTAGTTTTATCCTTCCATAATCTATAGTGCCTTTTTTGAAAATATTACATCAATCATTGTCAGTTCTGTACATTTACTATTTTTGTTTCTCTATTCGCAGTTTGGTACAAGGGAGGATGTAATACCCTACTAAATTATAGAGACGAGGGACTATATAGCTTGTCAAAGTGTAAATTATTTCTTTTTTAAAAATTGGATTCTGTAGTTGTGAAACATTTTTTTCCTCTCATTGTCACCTTTCACATGATATGCCATTCAGCTATAGCTAAATATATAGCTAGAAATCAGTATATGTTTTATAGCTTTAGCTGTAACTCTAGAGTCACTAAACATTACTTTGCAAAGCCCCATTTAAAGGTCCTATGACACTTAAAAACCTGATAATGCTTTTTAGTGGTATATATGGCCGCTATGTAGCTATGCAGACATTATGGACCTGCTGCTGCTCTCACTGTAATCAAGGGGAAAAACTCCCATTTACTTCAACAGCAATATCGACCTGTAAGCCATTTCCACCTACCTGTAAGTATGCAGCACGTAATTACTTCCCTTGCTCTGAGGGACCAATTTCTGTTGTCTGGTATACATTTTCAACTGCACTTGATTTCAGTGGAAGCTAAATGTGCATATACCTTTGGAAAGAATGCAATCCACTGTCACTTTATGTTTTCATATCCAACGGTACACACATACAAGGGACCTATACGCTACTCCTTTACAATGGTTTTTTTCTGGTGTAACTCTACTGAGGACAGTGGAAAATAAATGTGATGGGATTCATAATCAGGTCTTACATCTATATAAAGCTCCAGAGTTTATTCATGTGCACTAATTACACATGTAGATGTGCCCACGATACCCTCTTCCACATCCTGGTCCTGATCCTATGGGACTCAGTGGGAGTATTACCACTGCTTACAAGGGCACCAGGAGATCAGGCCTAAAACTGGGGTCTGTCATAGGCCCTGAAAGGGATTTAGATACCCAGGGCGAATCTACACGTGCAATTAGGGTGGAGCAATAAACTCCAGTTACTGTGCCAGAGTCTATTGCTCTCAGGCACATGTACCTGGGACCACAACACATTGAGCTGGGTTGGAGCAACCCCAGCTGGCAGGAGGCCCCAGGGGATCAGCCTGCCAGCCTGGGGCTGCTCTGACCCAGCTCAAAATGCTACGGAGGGGCTGGCTGTGGCACAAGGGTGCTCCTGTGGGCCGTGTCAGGCAGCCCCCTGCACTGAAGCATCCTTGTGCCCCAACCAGCCACATCAGCATCTACACACGTGCTGCTGCCAAGTAAAAGACTCAGCAGCAGGATAGTACTTGTATTTACAAGTACTACCCAGCTGCAGAATGTATTAATTTATTCCAGCCTAATAGCCCTGGATGTATAGACACAAGACATTTACTGCAAAGCTAATTAGTCTACTGCACAATAAACATCTTGTATAGATGCACCCGCAGTTCCTGTTACAGGATTCAAGGCACCCCTCAAAAATGCCAGCTCTTAGTTCATACTCATTTTTGATTCCACAAAAATAATATAGGAATTCTACTAAAAAAAACTCAGAAAGACCACAACAGGTCAGAATGTTTTTTAACACTATGGATTCCTGTTTGAAATCTCTGGGTTCATCTTGTAAATCATGTTTGCCACCTAATCATGTGGCTCCCTGCAACACCCTTGAAAAGATCTCAAGGCACTTCAGGGTGCCACAACACCCTGGTTGAGAATCACCTGATTTCAATATTTTTGTCAGTCTCAGCCCAAGCGTCTGACTCAAAACCCACTAAGATCAGTAAAAAAGATTCCCATTGATGTCATGGGCTTTGACTCAAATCCTAAATCCTTTTAGTTTTACACAATTTTTACTAAATGAGAGGGTAATAAATTGTGGGAAACTTTTTCTGACTTGAGCGCATAAATCAAAGGCAGTTACATAAAGCCTGACTTCCAGAGGCACTCCACAACTCCAGCTCTCACTGAAGTCAATAAAAAGTCATAGGGATTTGAAAACTTAGCCCTTAAATATAAATGCATTTCTCTCTTGCTCTTGTTTGCTTTCTTAGAAGATGTATTAAAGGTGGAAACAATGATGACCACATGATTTGTTTCCATGTAAAATTCAGTTGCATTATTTACTGTTACTATGTATTTGAAATCTATCTACCTGTGTTGTCAAACACTCTGAATAAAAACTTCCAATGTGAAAGAATTCTAGCACTACCTTTACTTTTCTATACTAAGAAAAATGTTTGCTTTTAACACCCAGAGTACCCCTAACAGTTTCCAAGTTGACAGGTTCCAGAAGCATCTTGTCTTCCCAAAAAGAAAAGGTCTGCAGTTGAAATGTTGACCTGCAGCAAATGAACCCATTAACCACAAACCTGTTTCTTAAAGTACAACCAGAGCTAATGCCTGCAGTTTGCAGATGCCTCCTTTGTTCTGTACCACAGGACATTACTTGCTTACATGGGGAAATTTACCAGCTTAATTATACTTGTAGCCATGCTACTAGCAAACATCCTCCACCCCCACCTGGTGCTCCAGGTGTTTCCAAATCCTTTGGAGGGCATCCTACTTGCAGGCCCAAGCCCGGAAACTTAGGGTTCAGATGTCCCCAAGTTTTGCTTGCCCTCAGCCGCATGGCTGCAGAAGCAAGCTAGGGAGAAGTCTCCCGTTTCCATAAAGTGGGCATAAAACCAAGATCTTCCCACTGGAGCAGCAAAGTGAGATGTTAACTATACACCACCTCTGCTGCAGGTACTACCCTGTACCAGAAAAGGGATTATCCCCACCGACCAGGAAAACTACCTAGTGGTCACCGTGTTTCCCCTGCCAGGTAAGGATACATCTTAGAGCTCAAAGGGACAAGGTGTGATTTGTTTTAGTCAAAGCCAGCAGCATTTGGCCCCCCAGCCTTGTTTAGAGCAGCTCCAAGCAAAAGGAGAGCACCCCCCCACCAAGTAAAACTCTGTGCTGGCCTGGCAGTCTAGATCTGCCTGCAGAGATCAGCCCCATCCCACAGAACTCGGTGTAAAGCTCTAATCTCCTCTGGCTGTGTCTGCGGAGCCGAGAGATGCAGAAATGGATCGGATATGCCGTTCCCGGACAGCATAGGATAGCAATATATTTAGACTCTTACTTGTCATGTTTTGGCCCGATCCTTGTACAGTCCGTGCCGGGCAGCTCTTATTCCAGGGCGACTGAGCCCTAAAAGCCGGGCTGTCCCCAGCAGGGGTATGAGGGGAAAAAATGAAAAGTCTCCTTCGAGCCGGAATCGAACCAGCGACCTAAGGATGT